AAGAAACAAGCTCTTCGATGATCTCATGGGACACAGTGGGTGCTCACTACATGGGAGTTATTTTTCTTACAGTGAGCCAGAAAGACTATGAGAACCACGTTGGACATTAGGAATGTAGCATGCCCATGTAAGAATAACCACTAAATTGTGACTGACAGGATTGAAGTTTCTAAAGCCAGGAATATTGTGGACGCAGACAGAAGAGATGCAATAGCCAAATCCCGTGACTCTTCCAACAAGTAGTTTTCAGACAAAATCAGATACAAGTGGATGGCTGATGTACCTAGCATAGAAGGTGGAAAGGTATTGTTGGGAGGGTCAGCCTTACAAAGACATCGTAGGTGATCACTGGAATTCAAAGTCTTTCCCTTCCCCAGGACATCTTCTACAAGTTGCCCTGAATGTTTATAATTCTATCAGTGCCCTCCTATTGTTGTCTTTCAAAATGCAGACTTACTGGCTGAATATCTTATCAAGTCATTACCTTCTCCACATGGGTGAATTGGATAAGATTCCTTTTACTTTTGCCAGGGTCCAATAAAGACAATGGAAAGAATGGAACTAGAAGGAGGCCATGAACAGGGTAAGGATAGCAAGGGATAAGAGAGAAAGAAAAGAATAATAATAAGGAACAGGACTGCCAAGTAACAACACTGTGCAGCTTGTCAGGGTGTGAGCAGCACTCACTTCATTGTCAAGGCTCTAAAGACAAACGTCACCTATCTCATTGTTTGTCAAGGGCTGACCCTGAGCATAGGTTTAAACTACAAAGAGTTTCCAGCCAAATCTAGACAAATGTGTGAATGGCGTAATGGTCATAGGCTATCAAGACATCCCCAAAGGCCTCACCTTACACAGCTGGCCTGCTGCATGGTATCTTAGGGATGTTGCCCAGCACTTAGTAAACACATAGGAGAATGTTTAGGACAGATGACCACTGGTTCTTGGCTTTGACACTTACCAGCTATTTAACCTTGGCTAAATCAATAATTCTCTCCAACAAAGAACGTAGTCAGAGATTAACTGTGACCACAAAGAAATCAAAGAGATGAATCTGTACTCCGTTTTTAAAGTGGTCCTCCAATATGATAATCGTATTTCCGCTTGTGGGGAAGGCAAGGAAAAATATATTAAATCATTACCAGCCCCCTAAAACAAGATATGATCATCATGAAAACATAGTATCAGTCCCAGGGTAAGTTGGGAAATCAGTTGCCTTAAACCATCTCTTTCAGTGTCCTTACTTCCCTTGAGGACATCTTTTTCCCAGGCACATAGGAGTCTTCGGGCTATCCAAACCCATTTTCAGTTCTCTACTAAGTCTAGGCTTCTTCCTTTTCAGTTTCTGAAAAATTCTCATTTTCCATAAAAAAACTTATTCCCCTGAAGTACTGTTGGTGACCAGTACTGACTTAACTCCTTACCTCTCCAGGGCAGGGAGGCTTTGAGTTTTGAGTACCCCCGGAGATGCTGCCATCTCATGCCAAAGGTAGCCTCTGATAGTGGCATTGCAGACTAGGAGGCACATACATGGGGGAACCATATCACCTGTGCTTATGACCTGGCACAGGGCTGGTTTCTCTCTCCAGTTATTTGAGCTGTATTTACAGATTGGTCTTTCAGGTCTTGACCAGTTCAGCCTTCTTGATTGAACTGGAACAAATATGAGCCTCTATCCACACTGCCAGGGTCTCAGAAATTCAGAACCAGCTGAGCTTTTCAAGTAAGATTAGAGTCAGAAATCCTCCATGGTCCAGAGCTATTCTCCATGGCACTGACCTGACATAGGATTATTGTATATTGTGAACCTCTATCCCCATGACATTTGTCAGTATGGGCTTATACAAGGGACTTGGCTTTATTAAACTGCACTGCCTCTTAAAATACTGAGCTGTGCTGCATATGTGACTGTTTAACTCAATTGTCTATATGATAAAGTCACTTGGCATTTGAGTAAGAATATCATGTGTGGGTTGATGGTTTATTAGTCTAGATTGGAATATTCTATGACTGGCAGATTGTACCCCAACAACCCGTAGTTGCCTCAGACATCTAGTACAGCTATAAAGGCCATACTATTTTGGTTAAGCCTCAGGACTAATGAAAAGATACATATTCAACTCTTTGTTTGCCTAGTTCTGGAAACAACTTCTTATAATAAGACTAAGATATAAAACTAAAGGTCAAAACTGTGTAAGTAAAAGAAGTTACTGCCCTTTAAGGGAAAAATAATACATGTTAATTTTTGCAGCAATTTCAATTGAATGGGTTTCCAGGGAAACGGGTATCTGCAATGGGTTCATCCCACTTAATATTTATGACAAGACATAGGGAATTTCTTTCATGCTATCTTTTCCTGGTTACACACGACATGCTCATTCTTAAATTTCCTTTGAAGCGATCATTCTATGCTTGAGTCTTATTTGTTCTCCCAAAAAAAGAAATGAATGCCCATTCTATGATTTTTTAAGAACCTTTGATATCAGGAATATAAGCCTGGTGATCACTACTAAAAAATAAAAGTATGCAAATCAATCTGACTCCCTTTTTTAATGAATCAAAAGCTATTTGTTATTACTTGTTTTATTGAAAATCTGCTTACTTTCTGAGTTGGATTCTGTTTCTAAGAGTTGAAGTGGAAAAATAAAATTGGTGGCAAAGGACCACTAAGTCTTCAAGGTTAAGTAAATTGTATGTTTTCTTGGAAGAGCTCCTAAGGCAGACCTATAAATTTCTTTTTATATTTTGTTTTAATCTCAGGTTTACCAAAAAGTTGTCATAGTGCAAAAATTCCCATACCCTTCACCTGGATTCACCAATTGTTAACATTTTACCATATTTCTTTTCTCATTCTCTGTATGTGTGTGTTTGCTTATATACATATTATTATGCCATTTGCAAACCATTTGAGAGTAAGTTATAAACATCATGCCCTTTAAACTCTAAATACCTTCTAAAACTAAGGAAATTATCCTAGGAAGCCATAGCACAATTATCAGAATTGGGAAGTTTAACATTGATGCATACTATTTTCTAATCCTCAGACTTTCTTTACATTTTACCAATTATCCTTCCTGCCACTCCCTTGGAGGAGGAGTTGAGGTGAGGACCAGGGCTGGAGAGAGGACTTGTCTCTAAGAGGTTTTCACAGGCTTCGTTCCACTAGACAGGGCTGGGAGAGGCCACCACCAATTGTCCTTTGTACCAATCTTATTTTCTGGTCTGGGATCCAGGCCAGGATCATTCATTTTATTTATTTACTTTTTATCTCTTTAGTCTGCTTCTTCCTCCCACCACCTGTCCAACTTTACTAGAGTATAATGGACAAATAAAAATTGTATGTATTTGTCATGTACATAATTATGTTTTGACACATTATACATCTTTAAATGATTAAATCAAGCTAATTAACATATCTATCACCTATAACCTTTTCGCTTTTTGTGGTGAGAACATTTTAGCAATATCAAAGTATACAGTGAGTTATTAAATATAGTCACCATGCTATGCAATAGATCTTCAGAACTTAGACGTCCTGTCTAACTGAAATCATGTACCCTTTGACAAACATCTACCCATTCTACCTACCCTCCCCACTGCAGACCTTAGTTATCACCATTCTACTGTACACTGCTTCGATTTCAGCTTTGTCCATTCCACATACAGGTGAGATCATCCAGTGTTTTTCTTTCGGTGCCTGGCCTGTTTCACTTAGCATAATGTCCTCCAGGTTCATGTTAGTCTGGAACCATTTCACAGTTTTTCTTTGTCATTCATGCCATTGAAGAAATATTTCTTGAAGAAACACAGGCTGATTATTGTGGAAGACAGTGTGGTGATTCCTCAAGGATCTAGAATTGGAAATAGCATTTGACCCAGCCATCCCATTACTGGGGATATACCCAAAGGATTGTAAATCATGCTGCTATAAAGACACATGCACACGTATGTTTATTGTGGCACTATTCACAATAGCAAAGACTTGGAACCACCCCAAGTGCCCATCAATGATAGACTAGATTAAGAAAATGTGGCACATATACACCATGGAATACTATGCAGCCATAAAAAAGGATGAGTTCATGTCCTTTTCAGGGACATGGATGAAGCTGGAAACCATCATTCTCAGCAAACTGTCACAAGAACAGAAAATCAAACACCACATGTTCTCACTCATAGGTGGGAACTGAACAATGAGATCACTTGGACACAGGAAGGAGAACATCACACATCGGGGCCTGTTGTGGGGTGGGTGGCTGGGGTAGGGATAGCATTAGGAGATATACCTAATGTAAATGACGAGTTAATGGGTGCAGCACACCAACATGGCACATGTATACAGATGTAACAAACCTGCATGATGTGCACATGTACCCTAGAACTTAAAGTATAATTTAAAAAAAACAAAATTGTAGAAAAGAGGAAAGAAGGGAAGATAACCAGAAAGAAAAAGAAGAAATACAGGCTGATTATTATTTTGGAATGTCCCTTAATTTAAGTTTGACTGATGTTTCCTCATGATTTTTTTTAGACAAGGTCTCACTCTGTTGCCCAGGCTGGAGTGCAGTGGTGACCTCATAGCTCACTGCAGCCCTAAACTCCTGGCCTAAAGCAATTCACCCACTTTGGCCTCCTTTGCTCTGGGTTATAGGCATGAGCCACCACACCTAGCCTTTCCTCATGATTAGAATCAAATTATACATTTTGGACAGAGATATTAAAAAATTGTATGGCATGGCGTTTGTTCCTATGTAATTTTAGAGTTAATTATATGATGCAGAAATAGTTTTCAATCTTCCAAACCACTTATATCTTAGTGTGAGCAGGCCTAGATCTTTACTGGTGAGCTCATTATCTCACTGAGTTAGAAGAAAGTATATTTTCTAAAAGTTCTCTAATAAGCATCTATTCAATGCTTTAAAGGTGAATGTCAGAAGAAAAAGTTGTTTCTCTGCCCCCTCTGATATTTTTCAGGTTTTGAAAGACAGAATGATACTTACCTAGGGAACGCCTTTCTCCGTAATACAGGCAAAGAGTACATTGTCCACGGTCTGAAGACTTTTCTGAAGATAAAAAAATAGATATGGCCACTTTATTCTCTTCTCATATTTTAACTAAACATTCTTTTCTTTCCACAATCCAATCCTATTAAATTACAAAACAACTAAGATCTTAGGTTAACCTTGATATTTATTCTGTATCTTTCTGGAACATTTTGACATTTGAAATAAAATGAAGAATTTCAATCTGCCATTTCTAGATTTGGATCTCAAGGGTACCAACATGAAGTAGATCCTATTTTTGAAAACTTTTACAAATCCTTTTACTCTACTCATCCTTCAAGGCCCAATTCAAACATCACTTCCTCTGTGCATCCCCATGCACCATCAGAATGAATTTGGGTTTTTGTTTTTAATGCTGTGATAAAATTTTGTCCAGGTACTCACTGTGTTCTGCCTTACTTAATTGTGGCTTCTGAACATGCCTGTTTGATTCACTGGAGATTGTGAATTCATCTTGATTTGTACTGACAATATTTTAAATTGAGTGTGTTCTGTGTGTCCAATACCTTACTATACGCTGAGAATAAAAAATTATATGCACACCCCTTTTTTTCATAGGATTTCAAACAGAAAATGTTGGCAGAATTTCGAGTCTAGGCTTGCAATGAGCAGTAACTCTGTTGACAACCAAGCGATGATGAAAATTCTATTGGCTGGCTAGCATTTGTCTTAGGAAAGAATAATGAAGAATGTAACTTACGTTGTTTCAAAAATAATAATTCCATTTTACTCCATGTTCACTTAACGCTTGAAGTATTCAGTGTATGGGATACTGTTTTCTGCTTGCTGATATGTATTTTTAGTTTGGTTGCAAATTTCAGAGTCAGGGCCACGTCTTCCTCCTATGGTGTATCTCCATTCGATCTGGGAGAATAACATACATGGTATTGATACATAAATGATGTAAACTTTATTTTATTTTGAGAATCAGTCTTAGTTAACTCAAGCTATTTGTAGCCCTGCGTCTAGTTTTATAAAGCTTCACTGAGATATAATTTACATACCATCAAATTCCCCTGTTTTAAGTGTATAGTTCGATGATTGTTAGTATATTTACAGAGGCGTGCAACCATCATCATGATCTTATTTTAGAACATTTCCATCATCCCAAAAGAAACTTTGACTCATTGACAGTTACTCCCCATTCCTGTGCCCAGCCTCTGGCAATGACTTTCTTTCAGTCCCTTTAGATTTGCCTTTTCTGAAACTTAACAAAAGTGGAATGCTGTAGTATGTGGTCTTATATGACTGGCATCTTTCTCTTAGTATACTATTTTTGAGATTCACCCCAAGGCAGCATGTATCAGTAGTTTGAACTTGTTACCTTTTTTTATAACATTTTCAAGTATACTGTAGGACTGGAGCCTTTATTGACAAGGAATAAATCTTTTGAAACTACATCAGTTGTGGCATAGTCTAAATTTTGCACTAGTTGTTCTTAAGGGTGAAAAAGCAAAGTAAATGCAGATGATTCAATTGTTCATTCATTATTCCTATTATTAGGGAAATTTGTTTTAAAATTAATCTCTGACATGTTATTCTGGGATAAAGAAAGTATACTGTAGCTGTTAAATGTCAAAATTATTCCACTTAAACAACTAGTCAACTTTTCACATCAAGTCGATCATTGTGAATTACAATGAAATAATTATCTTAACACATAAAGGGGAAACATATCTACTTTCTCTAGGTGATTAAATTTAAAAATACACTAAATGAGCTGCTATGTGATATTCAAGTAAAACATAAATGATATTTATAAAACACATAAAATATTGAAGAGCGTTTTTTTCCTAGAGATACAGGGAAACATATTGACTATAATAAATATACAATGTGACATTAAATTAAGTACATCTTTGGAAAAACAGATAAATCATTGAAGTGATCTTAGAATTTGTGTCGAAACACATTATTAGTCACCCAGAAATTTCAAAACAATAAAATAATTTTCCACTTAGAAAAGCATAGCGTGGAAGTGGGAAAAGTGATTTCTAGAATAGTAACTCGAGGGCCTAAATTTCAATACTAACCTTTTCCCTTAGTAGTTATGTACAGTAAGAAAAGCACCCCTCAGTTTTCTACTGTACAAAATGAATGGAAATACCTTCCCAACCGATCTTATTGTTTATAAAGACACCATGCAATAGACCTCATCATTATTATATAGCCAATTGTCTAATTAAAGGTACACCAAAACTGAAATATTTTTGCATTTTTTTCTACACCATGATGTTCAAGCCACATCAGACTATATTAGATTCATTAAGGTTTGCTTTTGAATCAAATGTTCATTTATAAAAAGAGCAGACATTCCACTGTTGGCTTAGAAAATAGAAGACTTCAATGATGATAACAGTGGTCTGAAGTATATTTCAAATTTTTCATTTTTCTTTCAATCTCCAGCCTTAAGAATACTATTCTGTTCACTTTTGTATATGTGCATTTTTCTTTTGGTTTGGATCCTGAGCTCTTTTGAGTGGTATCTCATTCCCTCAAAGCACAAGGAGACTTTATGATTTGCCTTTGGTCTTAGGAAATATCAGTCAGAATAAAACCCTTGAGCTTTATCCCAGAGTTCTTATGTGAAAGACATTATGCTAGGACTCCAGTCTTTAATCAGCACTGTTTCATCCACTGGAAATACTATGCAAGAAAGGCGTTGGAATAGTACAAACGTGTCTGGGAATTTTGGACCCACAACCCATTACTTGAAAACTTAAATGAAACAAATCTTGAATTTAGGCTAAAATCAAACTATATATTATTTCTCAATATGAAAAAGAGGATTGCATGGACTTAACATCCAGCAAAGATTGTTTAGTAATTTTCTGACATGTGTAAATCATGTCTGACATGATTAAGTTTCTGGACCCATCAAAGAGGACAGATGACAAACAACGAAAAATCACTGCATGTCAGTCACTATAGCCCTACAGTTTCCCAGACTCCAGTGTAAGCTGCTAAATGGCATAAGGGCAGCAAAACAGAGACATACCATTTTGGACATAAATATGGTATTTGCATGCATTGAGAATATCAGCCCACTTATCAGTTGTATGACTGCGGGCAAGTTGTAGAACCTCTCCGAGTCTCAGTTTCCTTATCTCTAAAACAGGAACGGTCATATCTACAAACAGGATTGTTGTGAGGCTTAAATGATATAATCTATAGGAAAGTAGTTAGCACAGTGTATATAGGAATTGTATATAGGAATTGTATCTAGGAATTGTATCTAGGAATTGTATATAGGAAACAGTGTGTGACCACGCCAGAGAAATGCTTTTCAACAAAACTGCAAATGGCCAGCATTCAGGTCATATGAGAAAGTGGCAAGAGATAAGAGTAGAAAGTAGTCAGGAGCTACATTACAAAAGACTTCTAAGTCTTTAAGCTTTATCTTAAAAACTAAAGATTATTGCAAGCTAGGATTGGGGTTGTGGGAGGGGCAATAGGTGACATGCTTCAGATTCTCCTTTAAAATCAATTCCCCTAGCTGCAATGTGGAGGATGAATGGAAAGATCAGAGTAAGATCAGAGGCATAGAAACCTCTTGGGTTAGCCAAGTTTTCTCTTAAAAATGAAATGATTAGTTTAATTAAAACAGTAACAGCATAGAATAGTTGGCCCTTTGTGACTAGAGGCTGTGGCAAAGCTACAAAGAAATAAATAAGCTGTAATGAAAAGTCCAAGTATGTAATTTCTACTTGAACAGATCTGGATTTGAATCCTCACTCTTCAAATTACCTATTGTGCCACTTCAGACAGATAAATTTTTTTCATCTATTAAAAAAAAAAAATGTGACTACATTAGGACAAATACCTAATGCATACCTGACTTAAAACCTAGATGACACGTTGATAGGAGCAGCAAACCACCATGGCACATGTATACCTATGTAAGAAACCTGCACATTCTGCACATGTATCCCGGAAATTGAAGTAAAATAAAAATTAAAAAAAAAAAAATGTGGTCAGCCATAGCTGCTGTAGGACTATTGTGATGTTTAAATAAGATGATGCATATAAACACCTGACACAGAATCTGACACACTGAGTTTAGAATCGGTATGTGAGGTACCTTGGCATCCAAGGAAAGGGGTTTGGTAGGTGGCTGGAATGCACGTCTGGAAGGCACAAGGGAGAGTAAGCACCATCTGCACACAGGGGCAATAGATGAAGCTGTAGACATTGATGACTTCACCTGGAAGAATATGTATGGTTAGAAGAGAGCTGAGAATAGAACCAAAGGCATGGCCAATTGTAAAAGACAGACGAGGAGATCATCCCTTGAAGATGACTGAAAAGAACTGTCCAGAGATAGAGGAGACATGTGGGAAAAGGCTATATGACATGGAGGTTTCTGGTATACCATCAATAGGTTTGGCTGTGGAGTGAGGTGGAAGCAGAGGGCTTGTGCTGTTGTGATAGTATTATGTCCAAAGACCCAAAAATGTCAGATATCACTGCTCCTGTTGAGAGTCTGGAGTGACAATGATACAGTTTGTTAAGTATTATGGTACTGGTAGTGCATGATCACCAAAACTCAAAGTGGAGGCCAGGAAAATTGAGCTGCATTGGCCACATGGAGCACGCCATTCTTCCTAGCCTAATTAGGCCTAAAACGTTTTAGATCAAGGACAAAGCCAATACACCTGCCAGGACCAGGAGAAAACAGAAACAGAAGAAGACAGAAAGAGGTTTTGAGAATCCAGGGCTTAAGGTAACAGCCAGTGATGCTGGAAAAGTTGGCACAGACCAACTAGAGCAACTTCAGCCTTTACTAAGACAGTGGTTCTCAAACTTCAGCTAGTGTCAGAATCCCCTGAAGGGCTTGCTGTCCCCACCCCTCAGAGTTTCTGATCCAGTTGGTCTGGGGTAGGCTATAGAATTTGCATTTCTAAGAAGTTCCAGGATATGCTAATGCTGCTTGTTCAGAAACCACCATTTGAGAATCACTGACCTAAGGATTTTGGACTCTTAATCTTTGTGGAACCACAAACGACTGTTCTCTTTAACTTGCTCATCCTAGAAATGGACATATTTCATCCAGTAAAAGGCTGCTGTCACTAAGTTTGTGGTATCTTTTGCACAAATGTGCTGAGGCAATTATTCCACCTTTGTGAAATAAAACATGCAGCTCCAAAATTTAGACCCACAAAGAGGGTGTCCAGGTTGAGGAAGCCACCAGGACTGCCTTGATGAGAGTCTCTTGCCCTTTGGAAATCTCTCAGTTCAATTATTGGGCCTGCTTCCGTCAGCTTGGTCCTAAGAGTGTCTTGTTCCTGCTTCAATGTTCTAATCAGGGCCATTTTTTTCCCACTGCACCAGATCAGAATCCATTCCCTTTATAGTAAAACACTGTTACTTTTTCAAGCACATGTTTGTAAAAGCATATTCCGCTTGGTGATAGATTATGGTGAACAAAAGTCTCCCCTTGGTGCTCTTTTGTAGAGCCGCAACAGGCTAGAACTATCAAAAGCTTTTATGAAATGCCAAAGGAAAAAATTAGAAACAAATTCAGTGTACAATATATTTTAAAAGAGAAGAGCTTTGAGTTTCTATTCTTACCAAAGCAGACTTAATTCAAGAGCCCAAGAGGCCCTGGGCTTGCCCTGTGCCCACCTGGGGATTTGCATTTCCATGTGTCCAGCCCACCTCCTGGCCGGCAGCTTTCCTCCTTGGTTAAGACCCGAAAAAGGACACTCCCCTTCAGCAGATTTCTTCTCTCTGTTCTTGGTGTGTAATCTGAGAAATACACTGTTATGTATCTGTGCCTTAACTTCCAGCATATATATCCAACAGAGCAGATGACTAGGTTTTTCAAAGTATGTTTCATGGAACACTTGTAACAAATGTTACACGATACACACAGGGTTCTATGATCAGGAATGTTTAGGAAATGCTGTTACACAAAGTCATTCAAAGTTGTGTGTGTGTGAATCTCCAAGAGAGGAGCATATCATTTGTCATTTCCCAAACTCATTTGATCATAAAATCTCTTTTTATTGTTTTCTCTTTAGATCATCTCTTGGGACTGTATTATGGGACCACTTAGGGAACACCATCTGAATACTAACCCAGTAGCCATGGTGTTCATTTAACAAGAATTACACCATTACAGTACTGGTAGGGGAGGAGGAGTCATGCTAATTAACACTCCCAGGATTGAGGAAGTCAAAGTTTCTAAAATGATTCGAGTGTTGCATGATCTAGTGACTCAAGGCTTTATATAATTTGGCAGAAATCCTGAGAAGGGAGAGTCAATCCCCAGGCCTGAGACAAGCTCCTTTACTCCCTTTCCTCCACAGCACCTGTTTAACCCTACAACACTAGGCCCAGTTGGGAAAATAAAGGTCCCACCTACAACACGAGAAATGATACAGTCAACGCAGGAGTGGGTCATGGCCCCAAAAGCTACCACCTACGATGTGACAAGTCACTTTATCTCTTTGGGATTCCGTTTTCTCATAATCAGATAAAATACATGTGGAATGCATAGCTCAGAAGTTCCTGCTGTAATATCCTAGGATCCTAAGACAACCTAAAACAGGTCTCAGCCTCCATAAATGTTCCATATGTGTTAGGGTTTAGAGGGAGGGTTGCTTTCAAGTTGAGTGGTCCGGAACTTCCAGGAGCTTGCCCTGCTCCCATCTCTGGAGTTGAACTAATTTGATGTCCTTTTCAAAAGCAATGAGTCCAAAGATCCAGACCTCAACAATCCAAGAAAACATGGTCGAAAAGTTTTTATGCACCTCTTTAGTTTCTGCCAAAATGTAGTAGATGTGCTTTCAGCACTTCAGTGGTAAGATCGAGACTCATGCTTCTTTACATTTTTAAAGGGAACTTTCCTGAATTTGAGTAGTTACTTCCAGGGGCAGGAAATGTCTCAATCCTTTTCATAATCTTTTCTGGGGCAGAGGTGATTGGCACTGATGATCGTTATCTGTAATTCCATAACCTCAACTGAGGTGGCTTTAATAAACAGCTCTATCTCTGTTCTCTTGTAACGAAGATATAAAAGAACAAACTGGATCAATTTTAGACAGACAGATATCTCCCAGGAACTTTCAAGCCTAAGATAATCCACTTATTGCAATATGTAACATTTTATCTTTTTTTTTTTTAATGCACATGGATTTTGGTGCACAGAGAGTCCTCCATCTTTTTTCTGAGCGAGCAAGTATTGTTATGTATGTGAAGAGTGTCAGGGCTTTCAGGTCTCCGATGGAATCAAGAGGTTCCTGACACACAAAGTGTCATTTAGGCTCCATCCAAATGAATGAAAAGGGCTCTGTCCTGTGAAGAGCTGAAGGGAGGAATGTATCAGACAGAGGGAAGAACATGTGCAGCGTCCTTGAATTGAGGCAGGCAAAAACTTGGCATGCTCAAGGAACAGTGAGGATGCTGTTTTGGTTTATGTCAAGGAAGCAGGAGGATTGATGAGAAGTGGGGAAGGACCACCTTTTGGTAGAGGTTTGGATTTTGTTCTAAATACAGTACAAAGCCACTGAAGGTTTTAAACAAGGAAGAAACATTATCTGATTTGCAGCCTGTAAAACATCACTCTTTGGTGGCTCTGTCAAGAAAATATTAAAGTGGCCCAAAGCTAATGAGGAAGCCAGAAAGGAGTCCAGTTAGGAGATGATGATGGTTTGGACTGCGATGATGGCAACGGAGAGAAGGAAGTAGTTGGATTAAACATATATTTTGGAGGAAGAACCAATGAACTTACTAATGGATTGGATTTAGGTAGTGAAGGGAAGAAAAGAGTTGGCTTGAAGGTTATTTGCTTAAGCTCCCAGGTGGATGGTGGTGCCAAGATGGGACTACTGTGAGAGGAACATATTTTAGAAATTAAGTTGGAGATGCCCGTTGGTTGGGCAAATGGAGATGTCAAGTTGATGGTTGGATATAGGATCCTGGTTTCAGAGGAGACATCTGGGATGGAGATATCCACATGGATGTTGCACATAATTAGTATTTAAAACTATGAGACAGGATGAGATCGCCTAGAGCAGGGCTTGGCAAACTTTTTCTCCAAAATACCAGGTGGTAAATATTTTGAGCAGGCTATAAGGTCTCTCTTGCAACTACTCACCTCTGCCATGATAGCACAAAAGCAGCCACAGAAAATATGTAACAAATACAAGCTGTATTCCAGTAAACTTTATTTACAAAACAAGTGGTGGGTCATGTTTGGCCCACAGGCTGAAGATTGCTGACCTTTGACCTAGAGTGTAGAGAAGTAGCCCAAGACAAGACCTAAGAAATATATAGGGTATATATAAAATATATGTATATAATTATTATGTATGTGCAATTGTCACTTACTAGGCCAGTCATCATTCCAAGTGCATTACTTATATAAACTCACTTAATCTTCACAATAACCAATGAAGTGAGTACTGTTATCTCTGTTTTACAAAAAAGAAAACTGTGACCTAAATAAGTTTATTTCTGTCTCTTGAGAAAAAAAGAAGTCCATAAGTTGGCAGTCCAGAGCTAGTATGGCAATTCTGTGTATTTCAGCAACCTAGAATTTTCCATATCATTCTTCCACAATCCCTAGAGTATAGCCCTCACTCTCATGGACCAACATGGTGGCTGGGACGCCAGTCATTGCAGGGAGCAGAAAGTCGAAACAAACGAGAGGCAAATGGAATGCACCAGTTGTCTTTTACTGTGTCTTTTAAGTTTCCTGGAAATTGCCTTGCAACACTTCTATTATGTCTTATTGGTCAGAAGTTAGTCACACAGACACATATTGACAAATGGGAAACAGATTTTTTCTCAGGGGCCATGAGTCCAACTAAAATTTAGAGGTTCAATTACTAAAACAGAAAGTAAGAACAGTCATTAGAGTAGAAGTTAAAAGGCTCTGACCAGTTGCTTTAAAGCATATCAGTTATCTTTCTTTATGTGCCTTTTTGCAAGTACAGTTAGTTGATAGCACACCCTTCCTAAGACATTTCTGCTCAGCCATTTGGTATCTTAGGCCTCCACTGATGATGTCCTACATACTCTTCCAGCTCACTGGTCACCTCTTCTGTGAAGCCATCCCTGGCACCCTAGGCAGATTACTCCTGTGCCCCATCCTGAGTTTATTACACTTCTCCTTGGATTTCGTTCTTTCCTGGCATGCCTCCTTTTGTGCTGCCTCCTCTGCTTGACTGGGTAACTCAAAGGCGGGTGAAGCCTGGT